TGTATATAAGTTAAAATTGAAAACCTTGTATTTTTGCAACCCTATTAAATACTCAATATTAAGCTGAAACTGCCGGTGAAGTCATTATGAACTGGAAGGCCGAACACAATATATATATCAATATATCACTTAATGTTATTTCTCAATATATTGATATTATATAATATACAGTATATAATGTTTACCAATAGTCTAGTCTATGAATTATAATATACTTTATAATACAAAACTTTTCTACCAGTTATGTGTCCGTTGTTTTTATGAACAGCTATTAGTTTGCAACTAAACTGAAGCCAGTATTTAGATAACACATCCTCTTTAATGATACCATTATATGTGAATTCAGAAAATATAACACATTTGACTATTTATATCAATTATTAGCCATTTCTCTGTTCAACCACTCATACAATTATAGTCATATAATTCAATGTTTTCTCAAAATAATAGATAATGTCATCAATGAGTTTCTATCATTATTTGGTAATTTTAAAATAATTTCAAGTAATAAAATAGTTAAATAAATCTTATTATTGGTTCATATGATATATCATAAATTTTTAAAATTTACTTTCAATTTTGTATATTTTATTTATTTTATTTTTTGTATTATTACTATAATAATAAAAATTGTATAAATTAAATATGCAATACATGTAATATTGATAGCTTTAAATAGAAGATATTTCAATAAAATATTTAAAAAATATATATATGAAAATAAAAAATGCTTTTTACAGTTTATTTAAGTTTAATTCATGTAAATTATTTGTACAATATTTTGATATATGTTTATATAAAGTAAAGTTTTTATTTAAAATATTATATAACAACAAATAAAAAAATATAAAAAATCATTCATTGCTTGTAAAAAACTGTTAATTCAAATTCAATTCACGACTGAATCGCTAACCGATGTTTACATTTAATACTTTTTTATTTATTTTGTAATATTATACTAATATAATGACATTTTTTATATTTGACAAAACATTTATCAAATTATCATATTAAGTATATTTACAAATATATAATACATATAAAATTCTTCACATTCTATATATGTGTTGACAAATGATTTTTTGATATAATTCTATAACTATTTTACAAGAAATCCATTTAATCATATATTAAATATATAGAAAAAAATAATAACAAATAAAAATCAATTTGACAAAGAAATACACATTATATTAATATATAATTTCAATGAACTGAAATTCAAGACATTGAGTTTCTCAAAAAATAAATGACAAAATATTTTTCAATTTATTGATTCATATCTCAAGTAAAACTCAGAAAAACAATAACAAAAAATAGACTCATTTTTAAAGAAATACCGATGGGCGCAAATATTACAGTCGTTTTATAAATAATAAAAAAGTAACTATGTTTTTGAATGACCCCAAGTGTTATTTACAAATCGTTTTGTTGACATTTTGATACATACATTACTAGTCATTATTTGTGTTATTAAAGATTTGTGATATATCTTAATATGGATCAGTTACACGGATTGACATCACACGACCTCAAAGTAAGATATGCCATGGAATATGAATATCGTCGTAGAACAAACGCAACGATGGCCGCCGAAAAAATTAATGAGGTATATCCTGAAGCCGTAAGTGTGAGGACTTGTCAGAAGTGGTGGAAAAGATGGTCAGAAGAAGGAGTGGATGTGGAAGACAAAGAAAGGTCAGGAAAACCGACAAAAGTAAACGACGAAGAATTGAAAGAATTAGTTGAGCAAAATCCAAAGTTTTCATGTAAAGAGATGGCAGAAATGTTGGACGTTAGTGCCTCAACTATAAGAAATCATTTGATCGCAATTGGCAAAAGATATGTGACATCAAAATGGGTACCACATAATCTCACTCCACAACAAAAAGCTAATCGCGTGAAGACATGTACAGAATTGCTTTCTCGTCAGAATTCTGATGGATTTATTAGATGGATGATAACCGGAGATGAAAAGTTGATATACTATGTCAATGCTAATAAAAGATCTGAATGGAGAAGCAGTGGACAACGACCGGTTGGGACTCCAAGACCAGATTTTCGGCAACAAAAAGTGATGTTATCAGTTTGGTGGGATAAAGACGGAATTATTCACTGGGAATTGTTAGAGATTGGTGCCACTATATCAGCGGAAGTTTATTGTCAACAATTGTCAAGACTTCGGGAAAAACTCAAAGAGAAACGCAAATCTATGGTTGGACATTGGGGTGTAAAGTTCCACCAGGACAACGCCCCATCACACACCGCAAAAGTGACCAAAGATTTGCTGAAGGAGTTTGGATGGGATATCATTGATCACCCACCATATTCACCAGATATTGCTCCCTCGGATTACTATTTGTTTAGATCAATGCAACACTTTCTTGATGGCAAAAAATTTGAAAATCGGGAAGAGGTCAAAATGGCAGTCGAAGAGTTTTTCGCCTCAAAACCAAAAGAGTGGTTCGCCAAAGGAATTGGTGATTTGCCGGACAAATGGAGAGAAGTCATAGAATTGAATGGCGATTATATAATTGATTAAATAAAATTAACTTTTTCGTAAAATGAAATCAAAATTTTGTTATAAATGCGTCATTAATATTTGCGAGGACTAGTAATTGAAGTCATTAAGTGATATCTCTTTCCTGTTATTCGCTATTTTATTAAACTTCTTAACAAAATAAAAGAAATATTAAAAAGAATATAAAAGTAACAAAATGTCATAAAGTTTGCAAAAAAAACAATTCAAAGTTATACTAAATAAATGAAAGAATAAATGAATGAATGAATGAATGAATGAAACAAATGAATCAAAAATAAAAATCTAGAAATTTTTGTGCCAAATGTCTTATTATTGATTTCGAGGATTAGTTGAAAAGTTATCAAAAACAATATGAAATTTAACAGAAAATTTTAAAATTGTGACACAAGTTTGTGACATTTGTTTTGTATTTCTAATGTATGTTTGGCATCATATATGAGACATTTGCTCACATTTAAAGCAATGATAGATTGAGTGATGTCTTTAAAATCTATTGATATTATATTCAATATATTTCATCCTTGACTCGATTTGAAACATTTGTTAATAATATTTATTATGATTATTGTTAAATATTATAACTTTAAAAATGAAATTTTTTTTGTAGGTTTTATATTAATATATCAATATAATTTATATGTATATACAGTACTATTACTAACTATTACTAACTATTATTACTAAACTATTACTAAATTTATACAGTAGTATTATTTAATATTACAAAATAAAAATTTCTTTAATATTATTCTATAAAAATTAAAATTATATATAAAATGTAAAATTATGCATTTTATTGAAATTTACTTCAATTTTACAACTTTATATAAAACATATTGAAATAAAGTAAAACTGCTAATCATTAATCTTTTTAATTTTTTTCGCTATAATTAAGATAAAGTGTTTTGAAGTGCTTTGAAAACTATTCTCAATGTATTAAAATATATTTATATGAGCTCTAAATATCTTAAATGTTATTTTACTAGTTTTTTGTGGCCATTATTTATAACGCATAATTACAAAGTTTAAATAAAATGTATTTTTTGTGGTTTTTTGTCTTTTAATATTTTTATTTTAAATGTCAACAACATTGCTTTTTTAACTTATTTTATATTTACTAAAAATTATGTTTTTAAAATCAATAAACAATTGTACCAAAGTTATAAATTACTACAAGTATTTTTTAATACTGTTTTATTATTCTGTATTTCAAAGATATTATACTATAAAAATGCTTAATTAATTTTCACATAAAATAGTGATTATTAATATTTAAATATTAGGCTTTTATTCTCTTTTCAAAAAATATTTTAAATTATTAATTAACTAAAAAACATCAATAAACAAAATTATATAATACATATATGTTTGATACCAATTATTATTGTGCTATAGCTATTTTATAATCAAAAGTGAAAAATAAAAGTTATTACTAATATAAAAAACATTAATAGCATTACTAAATATAATATTCTGTAATCTAGATTTTAAAACATGACATTGTGTTAATGTCATTAAATTTAAAATCTTACAAATCCTTGAATGTAAATTACTAAATTTTATAAAAAATATTTCATTATAATAATCTTTAAATTAGATATTTTTGAATAATAATTTTTTCCATAATTATTTAAATAAGGATTATGGAAAAATCAAACGCCATTAACAAAATATATTATTAGTATTTTTAAAATTTATCCAATTTAACATTACTTAAAATCCTATTTTAAATATTATATTTATTTGTTAATAAACCTATAATTTGAGAATTTAAGCTAATTTTGGTTTATAAATAATAACATATTGTATATAAAATATAGATAAAAGAGAAAGAAAGAGAGAGAGTTTAGAAAATTACAAATAATTTAATTTTTAAATTATAGAAAAATACTTTATAAAGTAATAACCAAAAGAAAATACAATGTTTTTGTGTTTATCTAAATTGCAACAAATAAACAGCATATGAATATATAGGTGAATCAAATAATTAATGTGTTAATGCTTTTAAAGATACAAAGTCATGAATACATAAAATATACATTATATACATTAGTCCCGTATCTTTCAGGCAATGCATATAAAATGCCTGTTTTGTCATTTTGTATGAAGATATAGCTAAAATATAATTATTTTTATACACAAACAATAGCTTTGATAAAACTAAATATTTTAGACTAAAACAAAAAAGTGATAAATTTTGTGTCCGAGATATGCAATGATAATGAAAAAGAATTTATTCAAAAGAAAACATTTGACAGTATCTGACACTTTCATATATATGTAAAAACAAAAATATTCATAAAGCTATTACTTTTAACAGAATTTAACAATTATTTATTATAGAAATTTCATTTAACGTTTTTCAATATATCAATTGAGTCACATATAATTTAACAAATATATGTGAATATAGTTATAAAAAACTTAATGTAATAAACATGTTGTGTGTAAGACATACCTAACATTTTGATGACCGATCGTCTCGAAGCGTTTTGTTTGTTTTGAGCACTGGATGTTGAGTTGTGTCGTTGATAGTCAACTGAATGATTATGAGAACTGTTGGTCTCAGAGGTCGACAACTCCTTCAATGATCCGCTTCTCACTTGACGTGAACTTCTGTGGAGATGAACTCCAATCAAAACATAGAGAACTGATATCAATGTAATGGGAATAATGAAGAATACAAGAGTTGTTGTCTCAAATCCGTATTCAAAGATCACTCGTTTGACTGTGCATTGAGCCGATTCATAGATCTGCATACCAGTGCTCGTAAGCTTTGATATAAATTAAGATTTATAACGTTAATAAATGAAACTATAATAAAAACTATCATAAAATGAAATAACTGACCAAATAGAGAATACCAAACTGCCAGGCAACCGGTACGGCACATATAGCTCCCAGTGCCCAAATAATTAGTATTGTTTTGATAGCTCGCGGCAATTGAGACATTGTGTGGGCTTTCAATGGATGACATATCGCTACATATCTTTCAACAGTGAATGCAGTTATGGTTAATATTGAGGCATTTGTTGACATCTCAGATGTCAGTCCTCTTAATATACAAACGCTTTCTCCAAAAACATACGGATATTTTTGCCACAATTGATACAACTCTTGCGGAAGTCCCAGAAGTAGAAGCAATAGATCAGAAACGGCTAAACTAAACAAATAGTAATTGGTTGCGGTGTGCATATACTTGTTGTTGGCAATCACCACACAAGTACATACATTGCCCACCACTCCTGTCAATAGTATCAACACATATACCACAGTCATTGGTATAACTGTCGACAATGGGTCCCGAATCGGTCCCATAAGTTGTGCTAAATATACGGAATCAGTTAGAGTTTGATTCACTAATAATGTTTCATTCATTGTGATAATAATTTTATTTATAGTAATTTTTTTCAATTAATAAGTTTTATTATATTAAGTTTTTTTAATGACTAAGTTTAACAGTAATATTTTTGTATATTTAATTTTTTAAAATAAATATAAAATAATTCTTATTTATTACATTTATAAGTATTCAATATAATATACATTTTATTTAAAACAGTTTTTAAAAATAATATTTAGATTATTATTATTATTATTAATATTATTATTATGACATAAATGTGTGACACTGTTGGCGATACGATTGACTGTGAGACGACTTTTGGCACATTTTCAGCGACCAAATAACGACCAAATATTTTCTTTGACTTTTCCTACAAAAAAAAATTAGTATCACTTCTTGTGGCGCATGTCTTACACAACATCACTATTGCACTGACTCTCACTTTTAACACATCTCTGTTCATATATTGTGATATCAAAAACATTTATATATACAGTATTATCTCAATTATATTATACAATATTTACGAATATATCAAAAATTATTTATTAAATAAATAATGAATGATTTATTTTTAATTATTAAATAATATATAAGCAATACTATTGAAATAAACAATAATTTTTAAATATTTTTATAGTCATAGAAATATATTTTAGAAATTAATTAGTAAACTAATAAAAAAAATTCCGGTATATTTGAAACTAATATAATTTGAACAATTATTGTAATTTAAAAATTAATTTATTCCATCATACTAATTTATTCATAAATTTAATCAACCATTATCCAAGCAAAAAATTAACCTATGTTATTTTATTTAGTTAAAATGTATAAAATATAATAATCGACTTAGATATAAATGAGTGGTAAAACAAAACTAATTATATTTTTCATTTATATTTAAAGTAATATTAAATAACTTTTTAAAAGTTCTCGTTTATCACAATTTGTTTAAATTTATACTTTAATATACTGTACTTTTATTACTATTATTTATCTGATATGTGATGCCATACATAAAATTAAGATATAGTGTTGAGTGATGAGCTAAATATGTCATTAACTTATACAAAGTCAGTATTTATACATTATATAGTGTATATACAATAAATTTTATAAAATATACTTTATTTCACTATATAATATATAGTAATTTTACAGAATTTTATTATATATTAATATTATTATATTCAAATATTTATATATAACTGTTAAACTTTATAGTTTTGTTTAAACAAAAAAAATCTATTAGTAAATTAGCAAACATTATTAGATTACATTTTCTAAAGTAAGAAAATTTGTAAATAAATAAATTTGATACTAAGCTAACAATTTAGAAGTAATGTAATATTATAGACATATAGTAGATGAACTGGCAATTAATATAAACATTTTATTTAATTATGTTACAAATAGGTGTAATAATTTAAATGGTCAAATAGATTTTTCTAATAAATTTCCATGAAAAATTTCTTGTAAATTTCTCAGGAATAAATTTTTATAGAAATTTTACTTTATTATTATATTACACAATGGAATCCTCATATCTTTAGCTATTGTAATACTATATTATTGAGACAATATAAATATATACTATACAAAAAAAATAAAAATATTTTTGTAAAATTTTATTAAACATTTAATCATATTTTTTGAAAAATATTTTTTAGTTTATTATAATTAAAAAGACTAATTTTTTACTTATATTTTATATATTTTACTAATATATAATTATTATTAATAATCATAATGTATTGTTACAAGATAATTAATTTTGAGATAACAAAATTATCATGGAGATCCCATAGACAGAAATTTCTTTTAGAAACTTTCTAGAAATTTTTCTTTTTTAAGAACACTAGTAATAATACTAAAAATGTCATCTAATATAACAGTTGACACTCAAAATCTTATACATTGCACTCTGGGATTCAATTACATAACACTTATCAATAAAAGTATAAGTTTTTGCTATAAATATAACAGCAATATATTGAAAGAAATATTTCTATTGATTTGATAACTTTATGCCTAACGGTTGACTGTCTTTTTAATGGCAAATATCAAACACAATATGAATAACGATATGAATGTTTCATTGTTAGTGTCAGAGTCTATGCATAACAATCTATTGTTAATATTTTTGTACTAAACATAGAAATAAAGCCATGCATTGGCAAACATATCAATTCAAGTTATAATGGACAGTGACACACAATGTATCATTTAAATTAAGTTGCATTGTTTAAAAATTTATCAAATGATTGTAATTTAAACTATAAAAAGTTTCATTTATTATGATATTTGATAATTTAATATATTTAGATTAAATTAATAGATTTCTGTAACTATTTTACTTTAATAAAGATAATTATCTTATTTTTTATTCACTATAATGTATTAATACTGTGTACATAAATCGATTTCATTTAATGATCACTGTAGATGATTACTTGATATATATAAACTTTATACTGTACTGTATATATATAGAAAAATATTATCTATAAAAACTTCGACAACAAAATAACAAAATGCCATAACAATAATTTAATGAAATATAGAAAATTATAAGTTATATATATATATATATATATATATATATATATAGATGACATCATTTATATAATATATTAAATTAACTAACAAACAAATATAATGTAATACCAAATTATGTTTTTGTATAGTATATTAGGGAATTTTTTAGAATTATTCATAATTTATATAATATTAAATAAAAACGATGTTATAATTATTAAAATTATTCAATGATTAGTCTATTAATAATAATTTAATAATTTATTGATTATAAATCATTTATTATAATCATCGAATTATTTAATCATTTTATATATTGAATATGACTTGTATTATCATTTAATAATCAAATTGAATTTTGTCTTAATGTATAATATGATACAATGTATTTTATAATTTTTAAAATTAAAATATGTTTTTATATAAGAAATATGTTTTCAAAATATGTTTCACTTTTCTTATTTGTGTTTTTTGGTTTTGGACATCAAAATAACTGCACAAATGAAAAAAAATATTAATTTCTTTCGGCACCGTTTGCTTCAATGCATTACCACAACTTAAATGTCATATAATTTATTAAAGTGATAATGTGTTAACCAAAATAGATAGTCGTTTTATATATATTTTGTTTTTGTTTTTTGCTTACTATCATTAAAAGTAATATTTATTATAAACAACTATTTTACAACAACATGCAATACAAACAAAATACAAACATATAATAAATTAATAACTTTATTAATAGAATACATTATAATAAATAATACGTTATAATGTGTTGAATTGATTTGGGTGGGTGTGTGGGTGGGTGGGTGTGTAAATGAATAAGTATGTAAGTGGCTTTGTAATGTATCAGTGGGTGAATTTGCATTGCGATAGCTAAGTTAGTTTAAAATTATTTGAATTAACTTTATTTATTTATACTGTAATTAATATGTACTTCATTTAAGTGCAAACGTTTATAAAACACTTCAAAAACAACAATTAAATTCTTTCTAGAATTTATTTCTGGTAATGCTATTTAATATTGTCAAATGACTAAATTCACATTTTTTTATGAAAAATCATTAATTACTGTATGTTTGAAATTACATTTTAAAATTTTATTTTATTTTATAAAACAGTTAATACACTAATTGAAATAAAGTACAATTTATTATAATACTGTATACAATTACAGATAATTTTTTTGCACTGTCTTTTAAAATATACTTTTATTAAATTTTGCAATTCTAGTAATTAAACAGATTTACAAGTTTATCATCACATAAATTAATGTAATGACAAACATGTATTACTTTATAAGTTGACTGAAATACAGTTATAAATTATATTAGTTTATAGTAAAGAGTTTTATTGTTTCTGAATTACTGGACTTTTGTTTTGCTTTCAAAATAAATGTTTTGTATTTATTTGTCAATTGATTCATTCAGTTATACTGCGAAATATCATTATCTAAAAGCTTGTCTTTATTTATTAAGGACAGGAAATATAAATATAGTATTTATTGTAAGAAAATTAAATCTATATTGTTGTGTACTTATAGTAATAACCTACTGTATATACAGTATACAATAATGTATACATTATTAATAAATTAATAATTTTTTATATAAGAATTTTATACTAAAATTGATTAATTGTATAAATTTTTTAAATTTGTTTGTCAATTTTTAACAAAGTTATTAAAAAATTATTTTAATTAATTGTTAAATTTTAATCATTAATATTTAATATAAAATAAAACTTTATTATACAAATGCTGTATAAAATATTGTAAAAAATCAAGTATTTCTAAATAAATTTTTTATTAAGAGAATTGTTTTTTGTTTACTCAATTCGTTATAAACATTAATGCTTTTAAGTTTTTTAAAGTCTTTAAATTTTTATCACATAATATAAATATCTAAAATATGTATTGATTTTGTTATATTAAATATTGATTTTAAATACCATATGAATCAGATTCTTAATAACATAAAAGAAATGTTCAAATATTTAAAACTATTTTACATAAAATTACACACAATGTCTATATGTCTGTAATATCTTAAAATTATCGGAAAATATAATAATGAAAAGCCATTAACTAAAGTCTATGCGTATTAAAGATAGTATTAGATCTATAGTTTTAGAGATATTATTGTAAAAATTTTTAGTTAACGATTGGCACGAGTTTCAGGGTTAAGGACTTTGTTTGCTATCTATATATATACAGTATTTTTATTAAATGTATTGTTAAATGTATGTTATGTTGTGTTTGTGTTGTCTCTAATGACACTTTTGAGTTTTTTATATTTGCCATAAGAATCAATAAAAAAATATTAGATTAAAATTGAGTTAATTTTTATATTAATGATGAACTAAACACAAAAATAGTCACATGTTTGCATCAAATGATAGCCACATTCAATCAATTGTTTGATATAAA